AGGAAATTCGTCTGTTATTTCAGCCAGCTGTCGCAATTAAGGCAGAAGCGGAGCCAGCTCTTGCTGCCTTTACTGTGGTAGAGACGTGTCTCTTTTCCTTTTATTGAAGTGCTGTATTACAATACCACCATGAAGCCTATAGGCCTATTGTCACGCGGTAACTGTGACTTGAGACGGGGTTTCGTTTGGTATTCCGATTTACTGCACTCTCATACAACTCGTGACTACAAATAACTACGGCAGACTCACTGAGTTACACGCTCAAAACATCGCTGTAACTACAACACATATAAAGACTTCTGAGTGTCCATTAGCCGTTGCTAGGTAGCGGCTTTCAACGACGGACGTTCTTCTTCCTCTGGGTTCCAAAATTTATCTCCGGCCTCAGTTAGGAGCTTCTCATTTCTTACAACTGCAACTCTCAACTGACTCAACCCAAAGTCAAAGTCTGAGTTACTTTACGACTGGCGGTTTACCGCCAATCAGTTTGTCTTGGCGCCAAGCTCCTTGAGACTCACGACCAGAAATTTTTTTTCTACTCCTAAACCCTTAAGTCTATAGTCCTTGTGTAAAATCCTCTCTGACGAGAAGATGGGTTTGTCTCTTATGAATATGCTTGGCCTTTCGTCAAGTGTATATTTCGCACATATAGCAAGTTACTGAAAATTCTTCCTTGTGCACTGTATACAAATCTTCTGTCAGTCCAGGCTTTGGAAGCAGATCATGCCTAACTTACTTATCTTCGCACGGAAATAGTTTCTTTATTTATTGCGTGTTCTCTCGTTGCCGGGGAAACGTCTTCACATAGCTGTTCCCTAGCAATGGCTGTTGTACTGTTACCTGTTTACGCAGCTGTTACTTGGCAATGGGTCTGCATGTCACAGTACCTAATTTTATTTTTCAGTATGTGTGGCAACAGTAAACACTGAAGTCGTAATACTAAGGCATATGTTTGTGTATTGTTTCGACTTCGGACTAATCTGAATGCTTAACTGATGTCAGCTAAGAGTGAATAGTGGCACGTGAATTCAGTGCAGTCGTAATTATTCAGTTTATTCAAAGTAAAGCATTTCCGGAGTTGGAGGCTTCCGCTTCCCGTCGTCACATGAGCCGCATTTATATGGTATATTTATAATTCGTGCAGCCGGAAGTGCCTATTTACGTGAACACTGTGTACATTTTGAGGTTAGATTATTTCTAAAGTGGTTGAAATCTCAGAATATCTTCTGGAGCTTGACGCCGTGTAATATTGTAGAAGTTTACTGAATATCTTACAGCCTCCGTCTTTAGGGTCGAAGTCAAACAGCCACAGCTCTGCTTGCTTCTCGCTTGTTGCTAGGCTTCGACCATGAAAATGGATGCAACATGTTCCTCCGAAATGTAGATACATACGGCGTCACATCCAAGAAGACAAGGTCATAGTTACCGCTGTGAGAATCTCAAACCCAATGTTTAGAATTCTGTTCGGCAGGAATTCTGTGATATGTAGCGTCGCCAGAACAGGAAAAGTGCAGAATGGATATATAGATATTTAAATTCGTTAAAGCTTGTGTCGAGCTGTATTACACATTAATACTCAGTTTTATTGCATATAGTCTGTATATATGACATATATATGTGACGAAATAACGAAAATACTTCTAGACTTTAGGATTAGTCACTCGTAATTATTCACGTGTCAACGGTTGTTGTTTTTCAAAAGGAAGAAACATTTTAATTAAGATCTAAAAGTTTGTGACGATGGTATATTGTTACAATTAATATGTTTTTGGACATTATCCATCGTCTTGTCTATTTTTTAAAAACCGTCCTGAGTAGCTTTTACCTGAGGACGGGGACAGAATCCAGTCTCCGAAACGCTGTGTTTTGAAAAAGAAATAGGGCGGTTTTTTAAAAATAGACAAGACGATGGATAATGTAAGAAACATTTTGTTCGTTTGTTTATTGGAACTGACAGAAAGGAAGAAGAAACAATACAGATATTGTTTTACAGTTTTAAAAGTCCGTCAATTACATTTATTTTTGTGATAAATATATTTCAAATGAAATAATTTATAAGAATTATTGAATCGTTATCGTTCAATACAACAATATTTCAACTTTTGAATTATATTTTCTTTGCATGTACGCGAGTCCTTACTTCAGTTAAAACATACACTGAAACATTAAAGACGTGTAGCTTACAATAATACGTACATTGCCCAGGTTAGTAACGATGCATCCGTGTCACTAGCGTGTACTAGGGGGAAAGTTGCCGGGAAGTTATCGGCCGGCGAGCCGCTTGTTGCCCGATAAATCTCTCGATAATCCACGGTTCATGTTAGCAACGTAAACTGAAGCGTGTACAACTGTCGTAAACCGAGTTTCGTGATGGCATGAAATTATCACGGAACTGACCCGATATATGGTTTAGCAGATAGATACCAAGTTTTCGGACCAACCTGTTTTCTCCAATTTCATGCGGTTTACTCCAACGGTGGAGACGGCAGTTTACTTCCAAACGTTGGTAAGTTATTACCAGACTAAACGGCGGCCTCACATCCCAGAAGACAATAAGCTTGAAGCTTTTCTTTGCTTAATGACAATTAATTAGACATAGATTTAGTTTAGTTTGTAATTTCTCTATATTTAGCGATTCTGTTGGTAACTCAGGTTACCAGAGTCATGCGTAGCATTGAATGACAAGATGACAGCCGGAATTGAATTGAATATGATTTGGTAGAAAATTCTCATGGCCCAGTTCAAGGTACTGTCACAGAGTTTGCTTGGAAGAACTATGGAAAACCACGTAAGTCCTGTGTCAGAATAGATGGAATCCTGACCGATACTCAACCCAGGCACCTTTTGAATACAAATCAGAACCGTACTCAGGGCGTCGTCTTGGGATAATATCTAGATCGTACAAAATAAATTTTACGATACTGTTTGGAAATACATTCATGGACCTATAGGCCGGTGGAAAACAAAACGCACCCGAAATATCAGCCCATGCCTACTTGAAAGGAACACGAAAATGTAGGAAGGCGTAGAGTATATCCTCCTTTCAACAAGATATAGATAGGAATAGGATAGTTTTTGTTCTTGTCTATCTACACATATAGAAATATTACAAACATCAAGCAATCAGAATACTTTAAAGCACAGTGGTTTTTATATATACCATCTGCTTCAACATCGAGAAACTCTTCCCATACAGTGTGTATGGGTTCCGTGCGATTCTCACAACAAACAGCGATTATTTCCCTAAACAACATTAACCGGTTGGGCTTTGTAGCGGAGACGTAATATGTTTCCTGTGAGGTACGGACTGAATTTATATATAGTACTTAGATTAATTTCGCGCACAGAATGCCATGCTTTACGCCTACTACTGTGCTCTGAGACTGTTAAGCCTATAGGTAGCTTTGGAGAAATTTAGACCTACACAATTCTTTAGAAATAGTGAGAAATGTGGTAACAATAATGGTAGGTATTCATTAGTTTTTATGGAAACATTAAGCAACATATAAAGTCACGGCGGCTCATAGCCGAAGTAAGAAAACTGCGGAAGTCTGCATGTGTTGAAGCAGCTGTTATGAAATCCTTTCGTAAATTTGTGAAGCGCGCCTGAGTAGTACCTCAATTTAAGCTTTTTATTGAAAATTATATGTTTATTTATGTAATGGGTTCTGCATAGAGTTAGTTTAATTAACTGCTTTCTTCTCATAATCTTTTTAAAACCCCTATAGGGGCATGTCATACTTCGAACAGGCAATGCTACGCGAAAATCCTGTGGTGTTAATGAGGTCTGCAGCACGACTCTCGTATGTGAAAGCAAAGCTAAATTTATCCCTGTTATTGATTAAGCACCATTCTATGAATACGTATGGGGGAGTAGACGTATAGATTTGCACAGTCTTAATCTTGGCTGAAGATGGAGGTGAGTGGTGAGCTTCACGCCCCGGCCCCTTTACGCCGGGGAACGAGTTCTCAGTATTCCATTGAGCAACCGGTCTGGACGCTGTGGAGGAGAGAAAAATCTCTTGTTTCTTCTTGGCAATTAAATCCCGAGTCTCCGGCCATCCAGCCCATAGCCTAGTCACTATACCGACTGAGCTACCCCGGCTCCTATCACGGATTCCAGGTTGCACAATTTAACGTCAACGTTCCGAAACTCAGTAACATATTTACATCTCTAAGTGACGTCATTCAGCAGACACAGCACAGTTGCATGATTAGTGCTGTCTGCTCCAGCCTAATTACTTAATTTTTCAGACCCTAAACTGAGGAACCCTGTGACTTGATTTGCGGTTTATTCTGGCGATTGTGGTCTCAGCGCGAATAACTGAAATCTACTTTGAATTTAAAAATCGTAGAATAAGTGGTTAAATAATATGGCGGCAAAGAATGGACCTGTTTATCTAACTTAACAGTAACAACACTTAGATAAATGAAAGAAAGATTTATATCCATTTCAAGCCCTGTAGTCATCTAAATATTACATAATAACTAAGTTCATACCTCACAGGAAACACATTACATCTCCGCTACAGAGCCCAACCGGTTAATGTTGCTTAGGGAAACACTCGCTGTTTATTGTGAGAATCGTACGGAACACACAAACACATTGTGTGGGCAGAATGCAGATATTTTATTTCATATTTTTTTTAGCAGGTGGTTCCCAATTTGCCTGAGAGGGTTAATTGCTATTTCGCATTTTTGATCACAACGCTATGCAGACTGTGTGGTTTCAAAATACCGAAGGCCTAATTTTGTTTTAAATATAAATTCAGTAGAGGCCTATTGAATGGAATATTTTCTTAGCCTTCCAGTGTCGTGAAGACACGGCGTGTTTGAGAGAGCATCATCGCCAGATCGTGACGTAGGACGGGAATGAATATCGCAATACCGGGTGTATCGTTCACCACACGGGACTTTCCTTCAACAAGGTGTGACATGCCCCTAAGAAATGCCTGAGACGAAGTTTATGCATCTGTAATGAGAGTGAGTGCTGTACTTACTGGCACTGAGCCTGTCGCGCCACGCCATGGGGTTGCTGACGAGCCCTTGCAACCCCGGCCAGTAGATGGCCGAGCGAGATGTAAGTTCGGCAAGGGGATGGTGGTGCTTGGAGGCAGCGCTATGGTGATGGTGGTGGAAGTAGGATGCCGCTGCCATGCCCGCAGCTGCCGCCATGCCCGCCGCCGCCATACCCGCTGCGGTGGCAGACACGTTGAACCCGCGCGGTAAACCTGCGGCGCTGGAGCTGGAGGACGTGGTAACTGGCGCCGGCCGACTGAGTATGTGGTCAATTCCGTGGGGGTTAGACGTATGTCCGGCAGAACTGGTGGAGGACGTCGGACTGCCCTTGCCGCTGCCTGGGCTGCCGAGGTGTGTGGGTGTGTGCGTCGGCCCGGACGGTGTGCTCCCGTACCCCTGCTGCGAGTGAAACAGGGCTGCAGACTTCATCTCTGCCATGCTGTGCAACGCTGCCAGGGGTTGGTTTCCTAACATAAAGGCACCACCTCCAGACCCGCCCCTCGTCGTCCCGTCCACGTTCAAATTAAGAAAAGACAACACCGACGGGGATGCAACAACCGGATGTGCGGGCGGCGGTATCGAACCGGGACCCCCGCCGCAGTTAGAGGCCCCATTAGCTGTGAAGTCCAACATTGGGACAGGGGACTGGAGGCCCCTGCTGCTAGGGACAGGCGAAGGGGGAGATGACAGTGAAGAGGATCTTGTTGTCCCTTGCGAGTCTGTGTCCGTACCAGTCACGTGGGTTGGGGTGAAGTCCCGTGGGGAAGCCGTCGTGGCGGCTGTAGCTGTGGAGTCACGGGATTCAGATCGTTTCACCGCCGCCCGCCATGTTGGTCACAGTACCGCGGCACGATCCTCATGCTGTCACCGCGCACAACACAGTTACGGAGCCCAGTGTATAGATGTCAGCAGTGGTTACTGTTCTCGCACAGACATTGTCCAAAGAAAACACGGATGTCTGGCGTCAAGTTCGCCCGCCGTCCTGCTTGGCAACTGAACCACACAGATCACCAGGTCACGCTCGGGTGGAGCAGCAACCTCCACGGCTGAAACACTATGTAACACTGAACATTAGGTGAGCAGTGTGACAGCTCTCACGGCGGTTTTTACAATGAGCAGAGGAGGAGCGGCCAGACATCCCCTAATAGACACTGAAGAGACCCCCCTTGGACTAGAAAAACCAAGGAGGGAGGGGTAAATCTCCCCTTCTTTTACCCCTTCTCCTAACCCCCCGCCCTAGTTGAAAATGTCGTTCTACAGCTTTTTGAAAGAGATTAATGTCATTTTCATTGGGTCGAGGGTTTGGCCTGTTGCGTCATGAGCAGTTCCTATTGGCCAGAAAGCGTTTCCCGCCTTCTTCCTCTGACAATCAATACTGTATTCTCATTGGTCAGGGGTTTAAGTTCTATTCAGATGCCCCCGCCCATGATTTAACTCCCTCCTCCAGATCCGTAGAACCCCCTGGAGCCGGGACACAGGATAGGCAGTTTGAGTGTTGTTGAACAAGACAATTCACAGGAGAGGACGAGGCAAAAGCTTTAAATAAAAACCCAAGCAACTCCGAGAGAAGTGGCGATGAAAATGATGAAAGCGAGAGAGACAGAGAGTGCAGTCAGTACCGGGTGTGAGGGAAGCAGGGCGACTCACTCTCCCTGTTGAAGGTGTCTGACCCTAGTGCGAACCTTGTGAGCTGCTGCCCCAACTCAAAAGTTCACCTTCAGCTAGAGAATATTTGCTGCCTTCTGCGATATAACGCCGTGTAGTCAACCGACGTTTCGGAGCCTCGGCTTCCTTCCTACTTTCACGCTGGCACCTTTTCCGGCTTATTTTACCCCTTCAGATTGAGGCGATATGTTCCTCCGAAACGTCGCTGTGATAACTTCAAATTGTCTGCGTGTGTACGATTTATTTAACGACGTCGTTGGTATCCAAGACTGTACGGAGTGTGTTGGCAGGATGGAGGGGATAGCGCTCTATTTCAACGAACTATGTCGGCCTCTGCCTGCAGTGCTCAACTTGCCGCATTGTTCTTCTGGTTTTTGCTTGACTTACTTTTCCACCATCAAGATGGAAGCGACATATTTCTCCGAAACATCGGGCTGCCTCAGAACTACCCAGCTTCACACCTCAGAAGATGTTCTCTTAACAGGGACAATTATGAGAACCCAAAATCCAGCATATACCTACAAAATAAATAAGAAATAAGTATATATTACATATATACATAAAAGTATATGGTAATACATAAAACGTCACGGAAATAAAGAATTAAATATACAAATAACAGACTAAACTTGTCAAGATATGAGTAGTTCTTCAGAAATCAGTATTACCAACGAACTTTGGGCCTCTTCGCTTACTGAAATTGAAACAGTAAAGTTTTTTTTTGAAATCGTATCTCAGTCACTATAGTGCCTTCGAACAAGCTGGACGGATATAGAATCTGGGTTCAATTCCCGGTGGGAGCAGAGACTTCTTTTTGTCAGCAAAACGTGCAGACCGCCTCTGGGGCCAACCCAGCCTCCTATCCAATGTGTACCTGAGGTAAAGCGGCAGGGACGTGAAGCTGACAACTCACCTCCGTCTAGTGCCAAGGTTATGAATGCGTCGAGCTACACCTGTGTTGTCCCATACGTCCTCATGGCATGGTGCACAGGGATAATTCTGCGTTTGCCTTCCAAATTATTTATAAAAGGCCTTGACGTGTTCTGCATTTCGGTTTGCATTGATAGCGCTGCTATATGCGTGGGTGCTCAGGGGTTCTTTACAGCCGTGTATTGATAGCTGCTATACTCTGCGACGTCTTCAGTCTGTATCCTGCGTCCCGTCTGTAGCTACAGTCTCCTGTAGCTTTGCTTCCAGTAGACGCTTCTTCACTTCCGGCTCTGAAACCATTTGAAGTAGTCGGACGAATATACTCGTCATTAATCTTCGTCCAATCGCATTAATTTGCGCGGCTCCCGTGAAGCGTGACAAGAATGATGACGTCAGAGCATCCGAACCCCCACCCCCACCCTTTCTCCAGCAATTAACAAGTGACTATCATTAACGTCGCTGTTCACTGAAACTGAAACATGGAGGTGCAGGCTCCAGGGAGCTCCCGGGGTCTGGCGTACTTTCTTCTTTCATCCTTCCTTTCTCAATTTTCTTTCCTTTTCACTTTCTTCCCCTTTCTGTTGTCTTCCTACATTCCCTCTTGTCCAGTGTCTTCTTCTCTCCGTCTGTTTTTTTTTTCCATTTTTTCCTTCTTTCTTTTCTTACATTACCTTCCTTCCTTCCCTGTTTCTACCGCTTCCCTTGTTTCTCTTACGTCCGCCCCTCTTTCTGTTGTCTCCCCACCTCCCCCATCTTGCACTCAATCAGGCATTTCATTACAGCGATGAGAGACCTATTAATCTCGCCCCCTCCCCCCTCTGGCGAGAACAGGTCGAAGCATCCGCCACTTACCGACTCACTGACGGCTTGGGGGGGGGGAGCTGTTGGTATTGTTTCTCTTCATAGTGACACAGCAGTGGATCAGGAACGAAGCAAATTTAAAATGAAATTGCAGTTGTCCTTTTGTTTGAGCCTGTTAAGTGAGGCACGTCTGTTTACCCACACTGTATGATCTGCAAAATGAGCAGCTTCGCAGCGAGGTCTAAAAGTCTGTGATCGTGGCAGATGTTACATCGGCGAAACAAGCAGAAGTACGAATTAAGGAGCACAAATATAGCCTGACTCGGGGCCTGTTTGAAAAATCAAAATTAGCCCAACGTGCATACGAAGAAGGCCACAAAATATGTTAGAAAGAAGCGAAGGGCTTGCAGATTGAGCCCAACACCACATGCAGGAAATACAAGGAATCAGGCCACATGTCTCTGCTGGAGCATCCGATCAACCAAGCTTGGACATCTCTCCCAACTGTACTCCATTATCACAGCAGAAGTCGGCCAACTACAGCTCCGTCCAGTGTAGACTGAGTGGGAAAACTGTGTTTGTATGTTGGTACCACCACAGAGAATTTGTCTCTTGAGTGATGACTTCTATTCTGATAGAGTTATTTTGATGTTTTCAATGTTTCTCTTAGCTCTCGCAGATGGTTTGTGCTGTACTTGGTTCATAGATCCTATCTTGGGTTGGTAGCCGTTCACAGTCGCTGCGCGTTCTGAGGCATGAAATGTCTTCGCCAGCTCGAACACTGGAATCGTGGATTCGAATCCCATTCAAGGCACGGATGTCTGCGCTTATTTTGTGTTTGTGTTGTCTTGTGTAGGTAGCTGCCTTGTGTCGGACTGATCCCCTGTCCAAGGAGTCCTACCGACTTACTGCCTTAGGATTAAGAAACAGGTGAAACAAAGCGTTTCACCGATGCCCTGTACTCCAAATGGGAGCAACAAGAAATAGATATACGTGTATTTTGTGTTGGTGCAGGTATCTTGAGGTGGGGACTAGATCTATCGATTGGGTCCAACTGAGTAGGTTCCATCTGAAGATGGAGACAGAATCCAGTCTTCGAAACGCTGAGTGTTTTAAATGAAAACAGGATGAAGGATAGTGTCCAGAAACACAGTAGTTGTGAGGAACTTCCGCCTGAAGTCAGGCAGCTACGATGGTCGGTTTCGGCCCTTTCGGGCCCAGAACAGGCAATTGTCAGGTCACGGTACAGGGGGAGAGAAATGAATGAACAGGAGGTTTGGAGGGGGTAAGATGAGGGGACAGGGAGAGACGGGGAAGGGAAGGAGAATAATGATAATAATTAGTTGGCCAGTAGTAAGCAACAGCGTAGCAGAAGCTTAAGCTGACGTCATAAAGAAGAAGATGAAGATAAAATAGAGAATAGGAGGAGAGGAAAAGGAATAGGATGTGGGGAAGGCAGATTAAAGTGTTTTCTCAGGAACGTTCGGCGTGCTTCCTACTGAATCATTGATTAAAATGGAGTTGCCTCCTCACAGCCACGCGACTGATCAGTGATTCGCCAAGACCGTCATAAACATTGTTTGGAAAGGAACCTAAGGCAACGAGTAATAGGAAGACCAAGCAAGAGAAGACGGTAAAGCTAAACGTAAAGTTAATTTCCCTGTTCTTAACTAATTAAACATTACATCATGAAGGCGTACGAGGGAGTGAATGTATAGACCCAAGTTTTCTGCACCTCGGTACTAGCTGGAGGTGAGTGGTCAGCTTCACGTCCCGGCAGCTTTACCTCCGGGGGAAGAGCCCCCTGTTCCCATTAGATACGAGTCTGGGTGAGCCCCAGATCTGGTCTGGACGATATGGAGAAGTGAAAATTCTTCCCTCCACCGGGACTCGAACTCCGACCCCTCGGTCGTCCAGCCTGTAGCCAGTCGCTATACCGACTGAGCTGTCCCGGCTCTTAAGAGAAGACAGTAAAGAGAATAACTGAGAAAAGGCCACAACTCGAAGCCATTTGTAAACCCAGTCACCTTACTGAGGAATGATAGTGTGGTGCGCGAACCGTGGCGGGCTAATTAGCGCCGAGTTGCATCAGTACTTAGGCCCAGGTCTGAAGTGAATGTGGCCGACGCTAATGGCGTCTCTTAGGGAGAGAGACGTCGCATTGTCCAGTGAAGAAGTGTGAAGTGCGGCAGTGTCGTGGGCGATGATGCGTTGGTTTCTGCACTTCAGTGAACCTACGGTAATTAAACTGTCACGTGTATGAGTGACTGTAGACGATGTTTGAATTGGTAATCGGATATATGAAACTCTTAAACACACAACTCGTGTGTAAACTTTACAGATCATTACCACTCACAGACTAGTGTTCTCAGCCACGTTCTTCACTAGCCGTTGCTTTGGAGTGGCTTCTAACTGCGGACGTTCACCTTCCCTGGACTCAGCTATCAGTTTCTCACTGCAACTTCCAATTGACTGCCGGGCTGGCGGCCGTCTCACTCCAACTTCCTGCTCTTCTGACTGCCGTCACAGAACTATCCCGTAGTGGCAAATGGCCGTCGTCTTATAGCCTCGGCATGGACCGCACAGAGAACACCTCTTCCAATAGCTCTTCTGTTTTGCATGCGTGTCTGCTGTGATCATTGCCTAGC